GGTTAGATGGCGGGGCCGGCGGCGGGCGGGAGCGCCGTGACCGCCATGTAAACAAACGACAGGAAATCGGCGTCTTCGTGGCGTGGAGGGACGTAGCCTCAACTTAGCAGCGTACGAGGGTGAACTGGCTGGCCGTGCTTGCAGACGTTCGGCGCGTGCCGTTCTGAAGGAAAGGCGGTGGCTTTTTGCAGCCTGGGAGCTAAATGTCTGAATTAACGTTCTGCAATTTTGAAATCTCATTTCCAACGCAAGTCAAATTCTATTGCAATTAATTAGGTGAAAAATTAAATACATGAAATTATATTCAAATAGCATTAGAAAGGGTCCTGGCAAGTGTTTTTCAGAGCCTGCATTTGACTCTGGGTTTTCTTTGAACGGCAGTTCCGTCTATGAGATTTAAATTACTGTAAGTACCGAAATTATGCACCCATTTTTTTTTACAAAAACGTCTCAAAGTCCTGACAAACAGTAGGATTTTTTGATGTATTTTGAAGGTATATACGTGCTGTCAAAATAACCCATTTTCATTATTTGATAAAATTACTAGAAAGCAACAATTGCTAGAAAAATTACTAAAAATCAACAACTGAGTAAATTAGGAAGTAGAAAAAGACACGAGAGTTTCATCTTCAAAAAACTGACAGAAGCTCTGAAACGGCTATGGTCACCTTTACCTTCAGCTCAACGCTTGAGTGGTCAACCCCAGTTCCCATTTCTAACAGCAACGGTGTTTTTCTAGGTTCCCACCACAATCCTGACTGCAGTGCAATCTCCTTTCTCTACCTCATCCTTGAAATTGTTTGTCCCTTTATTTACCTTGACCTGCGCTGCAGCAGTGAGGCTTCCCGGGCAGGGTGACGGAGCACACCCCGTGCCCCCTCGGTTATTTTCACCGTCTGCTGCCGAGCCCGAAACCACAAACAGGAACGGCAGGGCAGTGCTCTGCCACCTGGCCCGACCTGAACCACGGCACCAGCCGGGGAGCCACGTCTGATACGTCTGCGTGCGGTCACTAGGGCCGTAGTGCTGAAACTGCCCACACTCTCAAGTTTCATTATTAAAATCTTTTTCAAAGTAGTAATTTATAACCTACATATTGATCAATTCAACCTGTATCGGACATACGCTGCAGTAGTAGCTAGAAGCTAACGGGTTTGTTCAATCAGGAAAAGTCACGAAAAACATCTCAGGACTCCAGGACTCGCTGTGCTGCGTGATTGAAACACATGTAATACCAAGAAAGCTCTGACCAAAGGGATCATATACAAGTCCCAAAGCAACACATACAATCCTAAAATATGATGGGTAACAGTATCTAGGAAAACAAGATAAGAGGTGAACCCAAAGCGACATGAAAACAAAGTGTATAGGCTCAACAACGCATCTCCAGGCCACCCTGACAACACCCACTCAAGGCTATATTAATGACCTGAAATGACCTTTCAGTTCATTTGAGTGAGTTACAGCTAAAGCCTCCACACCGCACAGCTCTTCTGAGCACCTTCTGGCTTTGCAATACATTATATACCCTGGGTCTCAGAAGAGAAACACAGTAAGTAGCAGGAGATTATCAATTTATTCATATCGGTCCTCCTAATAGGTTTCTGTTCTTGCTGCTTCATACATGACCCTTCTATTTCCTTCCGGTGACAATAACAACATCAATTTTAGTAACCACAGGAAAAGCTGTGATACTCATTGGGGAAATTACTTTAAAGTAGTAATGGGAAATGGGTTTGAATTATGTCTCTAATTGTTTCGTAAAAGAAGGTATAATGCCATTTCCACTTTGTGAAAAGCAAGTTTTTGACAGGCTGAGGTGATGTCCTTACTTTACCGAGATCAGTGGCAACCCTCACACTGAATTCAAATCAAGAGCTCTCCTCTTCTAACGCACTTTAGTTTACATGTCACAAGCATTCAAGCAGTTCCAGCAAAGTCAACAGGACATTCTTAGCGTGCGAGAATTACTTTAAAGGAATTAATTTGCAAGTCTGCTGGCATGTGAATTTGGTTTGTGAAGAGGTTCCTGCCATGCAGAGCCTAACTATACCAGCTGGTTCTCCTGGCACACACAGAGCTTATACCAGCAAAACAATGCTTTTACTGATACAGGTTGTTTTGCTTGTGTGGGGAATAATTTAACTACACCAATAAAACCATATGTATTCCATTACTGATGAATAAATCCTAGCATAAACATAGCCATTGTCTGTCAAGAAGAACAAGAGGAAAGACAAGAAGATTGGCAGAATGGCAAATTTGTGAAGCAATATTTATAGCATTTTTTACTTGTAAAACATTATTTGATCTTCTGAACCCAAACTGTACCTGGATCTCAGAATCATAGAATCATTAGGGTTGGAAGAGACCTCCAAGATCATCGAGTCCAACCGTCAACCCAACACCACCATGCCCACTAAACCATGTCCCTAAGCGCCTCATCTACCCGTCTTTTAAATACTTCCAGGGATGGTGACTCCACCACTTCCCTGGGCAGCCTGGTCCAATGTTTAACCACTCTTTCAGTAAAGAAAATTTTCCTTACATCCAGTCTAAACCTCCCCTGGCGCAACTTGAGGCCATTTCCTCTCGTCCTTTCGCCAGTTACTTGGGAGAAGAGACCAACACCCACCTCGCTACAACCTCCTTTCAGGTAGTTGTAGAGAGCAATGAGGTCTCCCCTCAGCCTCCTTTTCTCCAGGCTAAACAACCCCAGCCCCCTCAGCCGCTCCTCATAAGGCTTGTTCTCCAGACCCCTCACCAGCCTCGTTGCCCTTCTCTGGACACGTTCCAACATCTCAACATCCTTCTTGTAGTGAGGGGCCCAAAACTGAACACAGTATTCGAGGGGCGGCCGCACCAGTGCTGAGTACAGGGGCACTATCACTTCCCTGCTCCTGCTGGCCACACTATTTCTGATACAGGCCAGGATGCCGTTGGCCTTCTTGGCCGCCTGGGCACACTGTCGGCTCATGTTGCTGAGTACAGGGGCACGATCACTCCCCTGCTCCTGCTGGCCACACTATTTCTGATACAGGCCAGGATGCCATTGGACTTCTTGGCCGCCTGGGCACACTGCCGGCTCATGTTCAGCCGGCTGTCGACGAACACCCCCAGGTCCTTTTCCAACAATCTTCAGAAGTATATACAGCACAGAAGAGGGTGAGAGCATTAAAGTGATCCATGTTTAATAGAAACAGCTTCTGAAACTAGGTAGGCTGAGCAGAACATGTTTGTTTTGGAAAACTGCTGCAGGAGGTTATGATGACGTTTACGCTGGAAATTAATATGGGAGGGAAGATATATTCATATGAACAGTTCTCTTTTGTTAAGTAAACTTGGAAAAGTAGGCCAAGATTTTTGCCACAGATGCTCACACATATTTTTAAAAGTCCTTTCAATGAACCATGCTATAAAGAAAGGGTAACTCGTGTGGAATTTAGACAACAGTTGAGATTTAAGAACAAGCTAAGAATTACTGGGTTTGAATGACTGAGGTACCTCTGGGTAGTCTGATGAAGAGAGAAGAAAAGCAC